GAGGACAATTTATGTGAATTACTCCCAATCTAATCTTGGACTCTTACTCTGTGCTTGCAGAATAAATCCCAGCAGCTCTTAATACTTCTTTACAAAATAAAAATGTTTTTTCTTAGTTGTGCAAAATCTAACAGTAGATTTAAAGAATCTTTACCTGTTTCAGGAACAATTCATAAATACAGAAATAAAGTGTTCTTTTTGTTGTTTTTATTATTAGATATTCAGAAGCAGTCATGCAAATTCTTATTAATTTAGAATAACTAGAAAAGCAGAATCAGTTCATAAAAATAAAACTTGAAGAGTGATAGAAGCTGATCAATTAATTGAAAATAACTTTGTCATTTGCACTTAGATGAATTCTCATCTAGATAGTAGTCCTTAACTTGTAACTACAGTTTAGCTCAAAATTTCTGTTACTAAACAGGACAGTTGTTAAGTGAGTTCTGCCCCATTTTATGACTTTTCTTGCCATAGTTGTTAAGAGAATCCTTGAAATTGTTGTTTATAACATGGTTCTTAGGTGAATCTGGCTTCCCCATTGATTTTTCTTGTCAGAACATTGCAAAAAGGTGATCACTTACTCCAACATACTGCAACCATCCTAAATACATGGCAGTTCCCAATCATCCAAATATTGATCATGTGACCATTGGGATGCTACAATAGGCATAACTGTGAAAATTGGTCATAAATCACTTTTTTCAGTGCCACGCTAACTTCAAAAGCTTACTAAATGATTGGTTGTAAGCAGGGGTGAAATTCAGCAGGTTCTGACAGGTTCTGGAGAACCGGTAGCGGAAATTTTGAGTAGTTCGGTGAAGTGGCAAATACCACCTCTGGCTGGCCTAGAGTGACGTGGGAATGGCGATTTTGCAGTATCCTTCCCCTGCCACGCCTACCAAGTCACACCCATCAAGCCACACCACGCCCACCAAGCCACGCCCACCAGACCGGTTGAGAACTACCTGTGCTTAGACTTTTAAAAGAATCTTTTGTGCACTTGGAAATATAGAATCTGGAGCAATGATGATGAACTTATACATACACATTAGTTTTACTGGGTGCTGAACTACAAATATTGTATCTTATTAAGATGTTCTTAACATCTTAAGCCTACCAGGTAAGTTATAACTGTCAGGGTTCCAACCGATGCCCTATTGAGTTTTCTTTGTGTGTGTATATCAGGAGTGGGTTCCACTTACCTTTACTACCGGTTCGCAACGGGATCGCATAGATCGCCCATGAGGACGTCATGATGGGTGGGCGGAGCCTCCCACCGGTTTTACTACCAGTTCTATAAAACTGGACCGAACTGGGAGCAACCCACTACTGGTGTATATTCATGCTTTCATTCAAGCGACAGTAGATGTGACAGGATTTCTTACTTGCCATAAATATATTTTCATTTATTATGGAAGATAGAAAAGATAAATTGGGAGAATCAAAGGAAATATGTTTAAAAGTACAAGTGCCCAGCAGAAAATATTCTCCATTTCTGTTGTGCAAATGAAAGATAATTCCAGCTTTTAAAGAAAACCATCTTTAATAAATCAGATGTTAGTTCATGACCAGTTGAAAAGAGTCACAGAAAAATATGAGAATTTGAATTACTATTTTATATAACTAGAAAGTGAGGTAAGACAAGAACTCCCTTTCGATGGTAATTGCAGCTGAACCACAGCAGGAGCTACCTAGAATGTTATAATTTAAACATTCTAAAAATTGAAACTGGTTTTGTTGTGGTATTCAATAAATCACAGCAAATAAAATAATCAAATAACAGCTTTTATTTTGTTCCCTCAAACAAATTAGACTAATAGGCATAGAATCCAAAATGTTTCAAAACATCTGTTGGGAAATTCCTACTGTACCTGAGATTCCTTTTGCTATAGTATATTATCAAAACACTTTCTTTCCTGTTTGAGTTGTGAAAGGTATTGCTTTTTTAAATACTGTCTTTATACAGAACAAGAATCTGTTTCCATGGTTACAGTACTATAGTTCACATAATTCTCAGAAGGATCTGCTAGCAAAGTTTCTGTTTCAGATATAGACTGAAATTCTTGGCTTCTGTTACTGTTTTCCTACCAGACTCAATAGTAAATGTAAACTGAAACATTCAATCTTATTAGACAACAAGTCTGATATTTTATGACTATGTGCGTGTGTTTATGTGCGCGTGTTTACACGTGCATTTGTGTATGAAGTTTATCTGAATGAATTTTTCACCATTCTCTATGACACTTTAATGTTTTCATGTTATTCCATAGGTTTAATATTCAGTAAATGTACATGCATAAAAGGTTAATTAGCATTTTGATGAAAAAGTTGCATGAGAAGAAACAATTAAAGTGCTAATAACTATAAGCAATATGGAATAAGACTGCATGACCCAAAGATAGAAACGGATTGGTATACACAGTATATATCAGTGAGGGCTAACCTTTTTGCCATCGCATGCCAGGAAGGGGGGGGGAGGTTCGTGCGTGCCCACACCCATAATTCTATGCACCCCACTCCTGGCATGGGATCGCCCGGTAGGCCCGTTTTTGTCTCTCACCTGGCTCCAGATCCTCTCTATGGGGAGGATCTGGAGCCAGGTGGGAAAACAGCCTTCCCCACCCCCTGAGAGGCCCTCTGGAAGCCCGAAATGGCCTGTTTCCCAACTTCTGGTTGGACAGGAAGTGACATTTTTTGCTGTCCCTAGCCTCCAGAGACTCCTAGAGAGGATCTGGAGCCAGGTGAGAAAGAAAAATGGGCCTTCCCCACACCCACCCAGGCCCTCCGGAGGCAGGAAACAGCCTGTTTCCCTACTTCAGGTGGGCCCAGAAGGCCAGAAAATCAGCTGGCTGGCATGCACATGCGCGCCAAAGCTGAGCTGGCATGCCCACTGATATAGCTACGCATGCCACTTGTGGCACGCATGCCATAGGTTTGCCAACACGGGTATATATCAAAGAAAAGACATGAAGAAACTATGCAAATTATTACATTATTGTGCTGATTTCTTCTGTAAAGTTTTCTTTAAACTGTTACAAAGAAGAATACATCCATACATTAAGAAATAAAAGCCAAATGAACATGCAAGTTTCAAAAAAGCCAGAGATGGATGGACGATTACCATATTGTCACTATAACTGTTTGGCAACCAATATAAGGCTGGCAGAATCGGAACAGTTGACAAATGGAACCATAATTGGAGGCCGAAGCAGATAATCATTTTGTTAGCTGAAAGTAATTACAACTTAGAATATCTGATTATGAAAGTAAGAATGGAAAGAGAAAATTTCAGGTGAATGTTAAATGTTAAGACAAAAGTAATTTCAGTCTCCATACTGAATAAAAGTATAAATGGTGGCAAAGAAATGAAAGTGGTTGTAGATTTGCTTTCATAAATTCTGGTGTAGGGTACGGATGGCAGTGGAAAAGTAAAGAGATCAGTCTTAGAATAGAAGGTAATCAGAACAAAGATATTTTCAATGTCAATATATAGCTGTAACAGTCTAATACCATAAAAATGTGAGAGAAAGAAGATAGATGCTTTGAACTGTGGTGAAAGTACAACAGACTCTAAGAAGAACCTATCAGTCTTTTATGGAAGAAAAATACTGACATGAGGCAATGTTCAGCAAACAGAAATTCATATAATTTAATGAGATGATAGATTAGGAAAAAAGAGAGAGAAAAACAAAACAAAAAGGGAATGGATAAAGGACCTAGGTTTATTGCTGTTGATAGTTTGACCTTAATTATCCCTGTAATCACAAAATCTGTCTTGACTTGATTGCATCTAATTAGTTAAACCACAGAACATTCATAGAAAACTAGAGTGCTTATTAATAAAACAATCTGAAGAGGAATATCCTCAAGAAGCCTATTTCTAATGTTAGGAAAATCCTCTCCCTAATATTATATGTTCTGGTTCCTACAGTTTTTATTTTTATGCCTTCAAAGAAATAAATAAAATTATGACAACATATAATTTTTCATTGAAATATAGTTTCACAGCTTCAAATCTATTTTGACATTATTTTTCAAAATTTGGGGGTTATCTAAAACAGTTCATTTAGTGATCGTTTTAAGTTACAACAGCACTATAAAAAGTGACTTATTGTTTTTAACATTTATGATTGTTGCAGCATTTCCATGGTCACATGATCAAAATTTGGACATTTGGCAACTGACTCATACTTAGGATGCTTGCAATGTCCCAGGCTCATGTGATCATCTTTTGAGACCCTCTGACAATAAAAGTTAGTGGGGAAGCCAGATTCACTTAACAACTGTGTTAGTACCGTATTTCCCAAAGCCCTGCCCTGCTCGTCCCATTTTTGTGAAAAATGGGCGCATTTTTCACAAAAATGGGGGCATTTTTGCTCTCCCTCAGCCCCCAGGAACACTCTGCAGGCCCCCCAAACCCTCTGTGTGCCCTGCTTTTTGCAAAAACGGGTGAAAAATGCATCCATTTTTGCGAAAAACGGGGCATGCACAGGGTTTGGGAGACCTGCAGAATGTTCCTGGGGACCAGGAAGGGCAACCCCCTTTTTTTTTTACTTGCCTCTTCGAAATCTTGGTGCGTCTTATACACCGGGGTGTTTTATAGTCCAAAAAATATGGTAACTTATCAGTGATTCATTTAACAACTGTGGCTAGAAAGATCATAAAATGGGGCAAAATTCACTTAAAAACTATCTCATTTAGCAACAGAAATTTTGGACTCAGTTGTGGTCGTGAGTCGAGGACTTCCTGTATTATATCACAGATTAATTTGCAGTTTCATGATAAACTATTGAAGTTTTTTCACTGGAAAAACATAGTTCTTGCCTGGTGTTCGTATGACTATCAAGTGACATGTATACATTGGGTTTCCCCCCCTTTCTTAGGAATTTCCGCTGAATGCTAAGAATGCCTTTGGAATGTATTTGGGAAAGAAATGACTCTGCTCTTTCTCTTCTATTTCTTCCCATCTTTCTGGTGCTGTTGTAAATGATTTGATTCAGAAGAATTTTGATCTACAATCATGACTGAAGAAAAAAATCTGGGGGTGTCTCAGACTGCCTTGTCACCTTCAAGAAGTACTAGCAGCTGTTCTTCTAAACAAGGAAGTCGGCAGGTAAATACAAAGTTATATTAATCTTTGTTTACAACTTTCTAGATTTGTGAAGAACATAAACGAAATATATAATACATTAAGTTCTGGCCATGTGACTATTTCAGAGAATCAATCGGATGCATTGAACATGTAATAACAATAAGTCCATCATGAATTTTGGACATTTTGTGTCAACATGGCATCATATACCAAATCTAAGACTTAAATAGCTGTGCAGTTGGCACAGCTATAATTTTCTTGTAAATCACAGTAGTGATATTTCATTCTTAGTAGAGCATTCTGCAACGCACTGCTTGGAGAATCCAAAGCTTCGGGTTGTTCAATAGTCGAGTAGCCTACACTGAGTGTGTTCCTTCCTTTAAATTTTTCTTCAGACACGCCCACTTGCTCAATGGAGCCTCAGTTTAGTTTACTCAGTTGAGCCTGTGACACTGTCTGAATTTTTCTCCAGTTTTTCTGGCAAGACTATTGTTCCTTTCCGAAGCGTTGGATTTTCCTGGATTGACCTTATTTCCTCGTTTGAACGTTGTTGCAGGGGTGAGTGGCCTGAGGCTCCAGGCTAATCGCCCACTGTTTCTTCCTTCGCTCCGAGGAGCTCCGTTCCTCCTCAGACGCCTCCAATTGCCTCTGATTGCGGCCGGCGTGTGGGTTGGTTCCCCGGCCTGCCCCTGCCTCATCTAAAATGATCTGGATCCATTTTTCTAAAATTTATATATTAGAAAAACAGTTTGTTTGAACAGCCCCATCATTAAAAATTATTGCTGGGTTTTTGCAATGGCTTCTAATTTATCAAAATTTTAGCAAGCTACCAGCAAGACTCCAGGATTTAATTAGTTAGCCATTTCATTTATTATATAGGACTAAGATAATTTTTTAATAATTTGAAGACAGTTATTTTCTTATTGTGAAGTAATAAAGAAATTGCATGTTTTGAAGAATGAAAAAAATAGGTTTCATAAAAAATTGCTGTTGTACTTTATTTGCTCACAAAGCAATGCTTCTCAAATATTTGTTTTTTTGTAATGGTGTTATATGAAAACTTCCATAAACTAAGCATTGGCCATGTCGATTATGAATAATGGGAGATGTTTTCCAACATATAATTAGAGAATCATAATATTTTTGGTTAAGTACAATAGATCTCAGGGACAATATTACCACTCATTTTTTATTGGAAGTTCCTTCTGATTATTATTTTCCTCCTTCCTTTTCAGTAACAATATTGGAGAGTGTTTTTGTAATCTAAATACCCTGTTTCCCTCAAAATAAGACATCCTCTGATAATAAGCCCAATCAGGCTTTTGAGCGCATGGCAATAAGGCCAAGCACTTATTTCAGGGTTCAAAAAAATATAAGACGGGGTCTTATTTTCGGGGAAACATGGTATTTATTTCAGTAGGAAAAATATATACTCGAATTAATGAACAAATAATAAAGAACATTAGATGCAATCCAACGACTAGAACCGTGATGGCGAACCTATGGCACGTGTGCCAGAGGTGGCATGCAGTAGCCTCTCTGTGAGCTGTTGCCCCAGTTCAGCACTGCCGTGCATGTGCGTGTGCTTCCCACTGGCCAGCTGGTCTTCGGGTCTCTGCCATGCAGGGGGTAGGCACATGCAGGGGGTGCACGCGCATGTGTGGGTGCGCAGGGGACAAGGCACATATGGGGGCATGCATGTACGGGGTGGGGTGCATGCGCGGGGCCCGCACACACATTGCATTTTGGGGGGTCCAGGCACACATGCATGCACACACACGCTTTGGGCACTCAGTCCGGAAAAGGTTAGCCATCACTAGACTAGAAGTTCTCCCTAGATCTGTTCTTGTATAAAAATTCATTGACTTACTTCCCTTTGCCAAGAATATAGATTAAGTATATTATTTCTCATGATGATATCAACTGCTACTCTTCATATTTATAATCATCCTTTGGCTGTATATTCACAACACAATTGAAAATTAACATTCTAAGATTTTAGATCAGCTTTATTATAATGCTCATGTGCTTTGTAAGTTACTTCAATAGTAAGAAAAAAATCAATATTAAGGTGAGATTTTGCTTTCATGTCATATCTCACTGAGTCGATTTGTCTGTCTTTCTCTCAGATACCTACATATACATTTGAAAGTCAGGCTTGCTCACATATTTTCAAGGTCTCTACGACACATCCTTTGAAACAAATAAAGGAATAAGAAAAGATTTGGTGGATTACAGATCTATTTGCCTAGCAGACTGTTTTCAAAGGAGGCAAATCCAGTGCTTCTGGAAGGTTTATTGTCAGGTCATGAAGAGGCAGGGGAAAAATTGCCTCTTTTCAACCCTTAGTAACTGCTGTTGAAAGAATCTGGAAGCACAAAAGTTCTGTAGACAAATATAACTCAGTTTCATCTTTTGCTATGTTTTTATGAACCCCAATTATCAGAGAAATAGCATTTGTTGTAAATGCTCAGTTGTAAACTGCCCAGAGTCACTAAGGTGAGATGGGCAGTACAAAAATTCAATAAATAAATAAAAATAAATGAATGTTCCATTTAAAATCATTTACAGATCAAGAGTAAGAATAGTTCCTTTTATATTCTGCTTATTCAGCTTATTAGACAAAAACGTAGCTAAAACACTGGTAGTTCAAATTAGCAAACCTTTATAAGGTCTTAGAAAGCATTTGTATGTTGCTGAAACAACAGTTCTTCCCAAGTGACTTTTAATCAACACCTTCAACTATAACTGACAAAGGTATTGATCATTCCCTTAGCAATCCCACACAAAAAATTGATCCTGCTTTTCCAATAAATGCCACTGCTTTCAATAAATCTTTATTGGATCCTTGGGCTTCACTAGGGCAGGTAGTGGCCAATTTATTATGTTCCATAAACACATTTGTTAAGTGGAAAAATTACCAAAAGAAGTTAGAAAAGTGTTGATTTTAGGGTGGCATTACAGGTAGTCCTCAACTTATGACCACAATTGACCCCAAAATTTCTGTTGCTAGTAAGACAATAGTTAAGTGAATTTTTCACCATTTTACAACCTTTTGTTCTGACCTAGGCTTCCCCAAAAAGCATGAAGCAGAATCCTGGTCCTGACAAAACCCCTTTTATTAAACAACAGTGAATTCCTCTCATTCACCTTCAGCAAAGTCTTTCAAGGCAGAATTTACAGTCATAGACCTTATCTGGCTTGGAGAGCTGCCAAGCCGATACCTTCAAAACTTGGCAAAAAGTTTTGGAGAGTCACAAACCAATTAGGCGAACTAATTGTCTCCTGCAAACTCCACTCCCCTTTCGCTCCTCTTTTATTCCCTCTGGGAGTGGCCATTCATCGTCCATCTGTGGCCTTACTCCCAAGTCGACCCTTGTTCTTTAGCTGTTCCCTTTGTCTGGCAACTCTGCGCATGCGCACACTGGGAACAGGCTCCAGCTGTTGATCTGCCTCACTGATGTCTGCCTCTGAAGGCAGCTGATAACTGGCATCCAGCCCTGGCCCCTCTCTGCCTCCAATGCAGAGCCCTCATCAGAGCCTTCCCAGACTCCAGGACTGTCCCATGTTCCTTCCCAACCTCCTCACTGTCCGAATCTGCTGCCAGCTCTGCTGGGTGCTGGCAGGCCACAACACCTTTCTTATCACAGTTGTTAAGTGAATGACTGCAGTTGTTAAGTTAGTAACACAGTTGTTAAGTGAATCTGGCTTCCCCTCTGACTTTGCTCCTCAGAAGGTTGCAAAAGGTGATCACATGAACCTGGAACACTACAGCCAACATAAATATGAACCAGTTGTCAAACATCTGAATGTAAATCACATGACCATGTGGATGCTGCAATGGTTGTAAGTGTGAAAAACAGTCATGTTATTTTTTTCAGTGCTATTGTAATTTTGAATGGTCACTAAATGAATGGTTGTAAACCAAGGACTACCTATGTTAAAAATGCAGATATGATACCTTTTTATTTTCTTTTTTCCTTTTCCACATTAAAAAAACTTTAATTCTTTGTTTCTACAACGTTGTATTTAAAAAGAAATAATCATGACCTCAAATTACATTTTTACTTCTCCAAAATTAACCACACTGTCAGATGTAAATGCCTTATTCTCCAATGTGTAAATAATGTATATATGGAACATCAGAGGTTAACTTATTCTTTGGACTTTAATGTATTCATAACTTACCACTCCCATTCCTAGCTCCACCCCTTGTATATATAAGGAGCCACCCTCACCATTCTCGTTGCTTCTACCTTGAATATTCAGTGAATATAGAATGCCTATCATAATTAAAAAGAAATATATTTAAAGCTCTAACTTCTATTATCTTTATTGAGTCTGATCCTGAAAATATTGCAACAAGCTGGTAGCAGAGGATGGTTAATTGACTCAATAAGTAATTAAAAATGTCCAAGAAAGATAGGCCCAACACCAGGGCCTACAGCAAAGAAATAGAAACTGATCAAGAGATGATCAACGAATCCACCAATGCGATTTCGAGAGAATCCGAAGAATACACCACTGAAGAAGAAGAACTAATGAGTGAAAATAATGACCAGAAAGAAATCGAAATAGAAAATAACGAACTCAGGTCAGAGATATTAAAGATACTAAAAAGCCAAAAGAATGATGAAAGTCTCATCGCGGACCTCCAGGAGATGCTGAAGAACAGCGGAGCAGCGAGAGAGAAAAACGTCATTAAAGAAAAACCCAAAGATCAAAAAATCGTAAGTGAGATGACTACTGAGAAAATAGTTGTTAAAAAGAAAAGATGTGATCCCGCGCGAAATTTTGAATGGCAGCCATCTTGGTTTCAACGAACTTCAAAAGAGAATGGAGCAGAGCCAATCAAAACGCTCAGTTCAAAATTTCTGGCGCGAAAAACACTATCAGACGAAGAAAGTGAGAAAGAAGTCTCAAACTCTTCAGATGATCCAAAATCAGAAAGTGAAGACGATTTAACAAAATCTCAAGTAAAATCAGCAATGAAAACGCTTTTTGCTGCTTTTGGGCCAAGA